AGAACCTGCTGCTGCACCTCCACAGCCTGCTGCTGCACCCCCAGAACCTGCTGCTGCACCCCCAGAACCTGCTGCTGCACCCCCACAGCCTGCTGCTGCACCCCCAGAACCTGCTGCTGCACCCTCACAGCCTGCTGCTGCACCCCCAGAACCTGTTGCTGCACCCCCAGAACCTGCTGCTGCACCCCCAGAACCTGTTGCTGCACCCCCAGGTGCTGCCACCCCCCACCCCGGGGCCTTTTCCTGCAGAGCTGCTCTCCAGCCCTCCCTCCCAGGTGGAGAATTCAGCATTTCCTCTTCCTCAGTGTCCTGCCAGGGATGGTTGCACGGTGCTCCAATCCATCCTACCCGGGGCCTTTTCCTGCAGAGCTGCTCTCCAGCCCTCCCTCCCAGGTGGAGAATTCAGCATTTCCTCTTCCTCAGTGTCCTGCCAGGGATGGTTGCACGGTGCTCCAATCCATCCTAAGCCCTCTGCAAGGCCCTCATAGTCACCAGCACCTCCCCTTTGGTGTCAGCAAAGCTGCTAATGATGCCTCCAGCTCCTGCACCCAGACCGTTGGTACAACCCCTGAACAGACCCAGCCCTGAGGAACAAAGCTGGGCACCAGTCCCCAGGCAGATGCAGCCCCATTCACCACGACCCTGCCCTCCAGCCAAATATTCACCACTACACCATGTACTTGCTCACCCCAGCATTGGAACACTTGACCAGGAGGGTGCTGAGACAGACACTATGAAAATTCAGAATAACTACATCTACCAGCTTCCCTTCATCCCCCAGGTGGGTGACCTTATCGTAGGATATCCAATTAAACAGGACTTTCCCCTCATGAAGCCACCCTGACTATGCCAGAAGACTGCATGACTATTTACTTTTATTACTACTGCTCACTAGGATCCTCCATCATTTCTCCAGGTCCTGGGGTCAGACAACAGCTCTGTAGCTCCCTGGGTCCCTCATGCCCTTCTTGGAGATGGGCAGCAACACCAGCCAGACACTAGGGAAGCCCCTAGACTCCCAAAACTCTTGCAACATGACAAAAGGAGCTCCTGCTATAACATCTGCCAGTTCCTCCCATACTCTGGGATGGAGCCCACAACCCCCCCAGACTTAGGAACATTCAGGTGAACAAACTTGTCCCTTACAATAACATTGTTCCTGCAGCCTGGTCCTCTGACTCAGGGGATCAAGCTGATGGGTCCATTGCCCCTTCCTCACCCAGGTCAGACCAGGGGCTGCAAGGGGGGGAACTTGGCCTTCTCTGGCCTATCCTACATCATAGCTGGGGAGAACTGCAGCTGGCAGAGCAAGAAATCTGCCCTACAGGAGTGTATAGATTCATTTTGGTTGAAAAAGACCTTTAATATCACCAGGTCCAACCATTCCCCCATTCCCACTAACTAACCCATGTCCCTCAGCACCACATCTCCAGGGCTTTGAAGTCCCTCCAGGGATGGGGACTCCCCTCCCTCTGGCTTACAACTGCTCTAGAGAAGGACTTTGAACTCTTTTCTCAGCTCTCCCTGATCAGTTTGTTCAGATCCAGAAAGATAATTTAAGATGATACAATTGGCTAAAAATTAAAGCCCCAAAATAATATGGAATATGTATCAATATATAGTATGTGTTTCTTTTTCTGTATGGATTTATAGTGTATTCCCATAACACCTGCTTTGAGTTCTCCATACCTGAGTGACAAGGAGAACTGTGCTGCTCTCACACGATGGCATTGGAAAGATTAACCAATTGCAAAACTTATGTAGTTGGCATTTCACTTACCTGAGACTGCTCAGCACCACCTGTGAGCCCAGGACCCGTTCCCAGCACATCACACATTGCACCCCATCCCTGTGTGCCCCTGGGCACAGTGCACACCCCTGGACTGTGTATGTGCACCCCTATAATGTGTGTACCTCACTGTGCACCCCACTCTGCTCCCCACAGGCAGCGTGTCCTCCTCCAGCAGCAGCTCTTGGGGCAGGTTGGCAGCAGAGTCCTGGGCTCCAAGCCCCCCAGAGCAAAGCCAGACCTGCCTGCACGCACAGACCAGCTGGTCATGCCCTCAGCCCAGCCCTTAGCCCTGCTTAATACATCCCCTCAGCTCCACGTTCCACACACACATCAGGAAAGACCCCAGAAGGACAAATCTGTCAGGTCTACTCCAAACAAGACTTTATTAACGAGGCAGGTGCTGGGGCCAGGCCAGCACAGCCTGGGGGAAACCTGATCCTGCTCCAGGGAGGAGCAGGGACACATCCCCCCATGGGGACAGCTGGGCAGGACAGCCCAGAAGAGCTGGGGCCAAAGCTGGGGCCACATTTTGGCTGCTTTCAGCCACAAATCCCCGAGATTCATGTCCCTCCAGGCTGGTTCAGGGGGCAACACCAGCCAGGCCCCCCATGCCCACTCACCCCAGAGCCCCTTCGAAAGGCACCACAGTCCTGGGGCACCAAGTGAGGCAGCAACAGCGGGTGAACCCCAAACCCTCCCAAGATAAGGCAGTGGACATGGCTAGGAGAGGGCACAGAGGCACCACCAAAGGCACGAGGCAAACCCAGAGTTCAGAAGAGCTCTGCAAACACCCCCAGGTCTTGCTCAGCCCTTGAGACTTTCCCTGCTCGGCACTTCACCCCTTCCAGGTGAGGACAAGCCCTGCGAGAAGGCACAACCCAGCAGAGCTGCTGCCACATGCAAAACCCAAGGCTGAGGCAGAGCTGGGGACACCCCCAGCCCCAGGGACACCCCCAGCCCCAGGGACACGGCCCAGCAGGGGGTCCCCGGGGCCACCTCAGCTGAAGTCCCGGTTCGGCAGCACCAGCGGAGCCACCAAGGTCCAGAGGTAGAGCAGGAGCCCGGCCCAGCTGGAGCAGATCTTCACCCAGACGGCCGTCCAGGGGCTCCTCAGCACCTGCAGGGTCTCGTCCGGCCTGAAACAGCCAACAGGGGAGTCATGGTGCAGCGCAGGGACCGGTCCCCCCAGCAGCCACAGCACCAAGCGCGGGGGGTGAGCGGGAGGGAGCGGAGCCCTGTGGATGTAGTCACAAGGCTTT